CATTGTGGAAGACAGTGTGGCGATTCTTCAAGGTTCTAGAATGAGAAATACCATTTGACCCAGTAATCCCTTTACTGGGTATATACCCTAAGGATTATAAATCATTCTACTATAAAGACACATGCACACATATGTTTATTGCAGCACTGTTCACAATAGCAAGGACTTGCAACTGACCCAAATGCCCATCAATGATAGACTACTGGATAAAGAAAATGTGGCACATATACACCATGGAATACTATGCAGCCATAGAACAGGACGAGTTCATGTCCATTGTAGGGACATGGATGAAGCAGGAAACCATCATTCTCAGCAAACTAACACAAGAACAGAAAACCAAACACCGCATGTTCTCAATCATAAGGGGGAGTTGAACAACGAGAACACATGGACACAGGTAGGGGAACATCACACACCGGGGCCTGTCAGAGGGTGGGGGGCTAGGGGAGGGATAGCATTAGGAGAAATACCTAATGTAGATGATGGGTTGATGGGTACAGCAAACCACCATGGCACATGTGTACCTATGTAACAAACCTGCACATTTTGCACATATACCCCCAAACTTTTAAGTATAATTAAAAAGCTAAAAAAAATCAGACTTCAATTCCTTTTGCTTCTGTAGTCCTCTATATATCACAAACACAAGGCTTAACAAAGTGAAACAGGAAATTATGCTGTTAAACACAAAGTTCTACTTAGGAGTTTATTTCTGTACATTTGGACACATATGCACATTAGTAAATTATTAAGTACAGTTTTCCTTTTTGTTTCCCAGTAGCCAAAAAAAATCAAAATTAGGGTTTGGAATTCAATTCACATTTTGTAACAAAGACTCATCTCTTCTTCAAAACACACAGGTACAGGTTTAAAGGTAGCCCAAGGAGTAGAAATAACCTTACATTAATGAGGAGGGAGAAATTTAAAGATTAAAATATTTGCATTAAATTTGTAGAGATTGAGAGGACTTCTCTGACGTACAACTCTGGAGACTCAGAATTACTGCTATAATAAATAGGTACCAAAATGATATATGGGGGAAAGTGGAATTAAATATGATAATATAGAATTTAAGAAAGTATGGGCATGCATTAAAAGACTTAGAGACTTAACAGGAAAAAAGAAGAACATTATCCAATATAGCTCCAGACACCTTAGGAAAAATTGAAAGGGGTGTGTTATTTGAGGAAAAGCAAACAGAAAACTCAGAAGAACAGGGAATGGTTACTTAGGAAACATTTCAAGATAATCATAGTGAGATCAGAGCAATAGACCCTTAACTGAAGCCCTGGAAAGGGTGAGGGTGCTGTTAGAATGAGGTTTTGATCAATGTAAGGAGAGTATTCTTAACAAAAAAATTCTGGGGTTTATCTAAGAATACTAAACAATTCAAGAATTTGAATTAAAAGGGTACCAGCCAATCTGGGGTTGAAATGGGAGGGCAAACAGGGTCTCACCAAAGCATCAAGCCAAATCAAGCTATACTGATTACTAAGCTACGATATCATCCTTGAAACTTACCACAATTTTATAGAGCGTTTACACCATGCAGTACTTTCACACTTTAGAGAAACTTTTTATGACTTTGAAATACAATGCGACATAGTAAAAATGATTTTGGAGTTGTGGGCCACTGACATGGAATCCAGTTCTGGTTCTACCACCCATTGAGTTATATGATGTAAGGTGTGGGGTACCCCAAAGTCTTCTAAACATTTGTTTCCTCCTATATAAAATGCAGTAAGGTTCCTGGCCTGGCCTAAACATATTCCATAACTGTTCAGTGTCACAGATTGCAATTATTAAAGGACAGCTGGACATGGATGCTGAAGAGATAGCCTCTGACTTCAGAAGAGTACATGTGCGTCTTTTGGGGCCCAGGGGTCGAAATCTTCTTTGATACGAGGTGCAACTTAGAAGGGATGTACTCAACGTGGCAAGGAAAGGAAGTGTCAGTCACTTCAACTGAGGCCCTAGTGAGCACCAAGGCAACACTCAGATTATGCTCTGTTCTCTCTCTGACTCCTGGTACAGATGACTGTATAGCACAGAGAAAGGAGAGTGGTAGAGAAAGTGTCAGGCTACGAAGGGAAGTGTAAGTACTTATGGTAAGTATTACTATGTATTAATTCAAGCTGTCTGAAATTATGAGAACAGCTTCAGGATATAACAAGGATACTGCATTAAGCAGTAAAGAATAGATCCAATAAACCCCAAATAGTTCTGGGGTATCCTATGGCAGAGACAGATTAAGAGGTGTGACTTGATCCTACATTCCACTACATAGGCCTAAGTGCAGAAAGATACTGGCCGCCCACTACCATAGCCGTCACTGCCTCCGTGAGCACATGGAGCTCAATTCTCCTGCAGTTTCAAAATGTATCCTTTGGACATCAGAGGTGATAGATTCAAAACAGAAGACCTGACCTTGGAAACTTTCAGATAAAAAATTAAGGTTAAAGTTCTTTTTGGGAATTTTAAAGTGTTATACTATAGACAATTACAAGATCAATGTCAAATAAAGTATAAAACCCATCATCCAAACTTAAATGACAAACTTCATCTCTCATCCATTTGAACAAAATTGGCCGACTACAATTAAGATTAATTTTGCATGCAAAAGATGGCAAAGAACATCACATAATGATTTTTCAAGCCTTCAAACAAAAACCTTAATGAATCAATTTAAAGACTGGCATCTCAGTTATAGGAATACAAGTTGGAGCCTGTTTTGTCACCAGGCACCTTCTAACACCCTTACTTTCTAGGGTCAGTAGTAACTTTTATTTAAGGTTCTTTCTGAGTTTACTACAGTTTACTTTTGTTTTTATTTTTATTTTTGAGATGGAGTCTCATTCTGTCACCCAGGCTGGAGTGCAGTGGTGCGATCTCAGCTCACTACAGACTCTGCCTCCCAGGTTCAAGAGATTCTCCTGCCTCAGCCTCCCAGGTAGTTGTGATTACAGGCGCATGCCACAATGCCAAGCGAATTTTTGTATTTTTTTTAAGTAGAGACGGGGTGTCACCATGTTGGTCAGGCTGGTCTCAAACTCCCAACCTCAGGTGATCTGTCCGCCTCAGCCTCCCAAAGTGTTGGGATTACAGATGTGAGCCACTGCTCCTGGCCTACTATAGTTTTTATAAACAGAAAAACTTCTAGTCTAAATATTTCACGCTGAAAATAATGGCAACAGGGTCAGACTGATATATTAAAAGCTTATTAAAAAAGAAGGAAGAGATCTGATAATCAAACGTACTGAAAAGGTAAATTTTAAAAATCATCATATCTAATTAGATCCAATTTCTTATTATTTGAGTGATAATCTGGAATGCTGAGCACTTAATTTGGATGAGGGCTGAATTATAACATCATCTATCTAATTTTAGTATTTGCCAGAATCTGTTTAATGTCTGAAATGAACTTTACCACAAATTATTCCTCTACTTCACTGACTTTTTCATTGATTGATACTATTCTGGTCTATACTGTAAAAATTCTTCACATGAATCACAAAACCTATAGAAAAATGTTTCTATGTTAGTTAAGGATTAATCTTAAAGTCCCTTTAATTTAAATATTTTTTATTAAAATGTTCTTAAATGTGTAAGTACACTAACATTCTAGTGCTTACTTATGCTAGGCATTCAAATGCTTTATATACACTACTACAACAATGACAACGATTATTACAACAATGAAATAAAGTAGAATTATCACCTTTATTTTACAGATGAGAAAACTGAATCATAAGAAGGTCACATAACTTGCAGAGGGTTATATAGCTAGTGATCTGGAGCCAGTATTTAGTTTACTAAATATCTTATATCAACTTATTTTTGTGTGTGTGATTAGTCTATCAAAAAATATAGACCACTTTGGACTCCTCTTAACCAGTGTTTTCTAGAGTGTTTCTTTTTTCTTTTTCTTTTTTTTTTTAACAGGGTCTCGCTCTGTCATGCAGGCAGGAGTGCAGTGGCACGATCTTGGTCCACTGCAACCTCTGTCTCCCGGGTTCAAGCCATTCTCCTGCCTCAGCCTACCCAGTTGCTGGGAATACAGGCATGCACCACCATGCTCAGCTACTTTTTGTATTTTTAGTAAAGATGGGGTTTCACCATGTTGGCCAGGCTGGTCTCGAACTCCTGACCTTGTGATCCTCCTGCCTCAGCCTCCCAAAGTGCTAGGATTACAGGCGTGAGTGAGTCACCATGCGTGGCCTCTAGACTGTTTCTTTACTTCATTTAAGTCTCAATAATCCAAACTAACCTACAGTAATAACTTTTAGCTTAAATTCATACATCTTTTAGTGCAACATGGATAGGACTTATTGAACTATATTGTTATTAAAATATGATCTCCTTGGCATAAAATTAGGATTTAGGAAAGGTACAATCAGTCACTAAAGTTATTTCCTTAACCCTAAGGATTAAAAGAAATTCATAAACTACTAATATCAGTTATTAGCTATTGTTGCTTATTCAAACGCACTAAACCACAGCTCAAGATGTTGATCACAGATCTTACAGATGACAATGAATCTTAAGTTTTACGTGAACAGTGTAAGAATCTGTGGTCAAGATAAAAATCAGTTCTATAACATGGAAGGAAATTTTATATTCAGTGCATATACAACTGGTGTTTGAAAATTTTAATGTACTTGACATTTCAAATGAGGTAATTTCAAAGAGGAAAAAGAAAATGACTTGGTTGAGCAGAAAGGCCAAGCTGTGGATTAATGGTGAAGGCTGATATGCATGTACTGACACCTTGGCAGGTTGGGAAAGACACCTACTCCTATCTTGCATCTGTTTATGGGCACTGAGAATGGGCTCTTTTGTGTTAATTTTAAGTGACTTCCATCTGCATCATAGGTAGAAAAAAAAATTGCCGCAAATTAACATATAAATCACAGTTCCAATTTAATGCGTCAGTATTTTTCCATATTCAAATTCCACACATTTAATTAAAAAAAAAATCTCAGAAATCAGCAAATTACCTCGAATGTAGCTCTGTGCTGCCATTATTATATTTGCTTCCTCTTTCCCAGATACCAAAGTCAGGCACACGGTAAACTCTTTCCACACAAAATACAAGGTTTTGAATAAAAGAGACCTAAAAGAAAAGAAATGAAACATAAGGACATACTCAATAACAGGACATAGGCTGGGTGCGGTGGCTCACGCCTGTAATCCCAGCACTTTGGGAGGCTGAGGCAGACGGATCACATGAGGTTGGCAGTTTGAGACCAGCATGACCAACATGCAGAAACCCATCTCTACTAAAAAATACAAAAATTAGGGGTCCATTCCAAGATGGCTAAATAGGAACAGCTCCAGTTTGCAGCTCCCAGCGTGCTGAACGCAGAAGATGGGCGATTTCTGCATTTCCAACTTAGGTACCTGGTTCATCTCACTGGGACTGGTTGGACAGTGGGTGCAGCCTATGGAGGGCGAGCTGAAGCAGGGTGGGGTATCGCCTCACCCGGGAAGCACAAGCAGTCAGGAGATTTCCCTCTCCTAGCCAAGGGAAGCCGTGACAGACTATACAGGGAAAATTGGGACATTACCACCTAAATACTGCGCTTTTCCAATGGTCTTAGCAGACGGCACACCAAGGGATGCCTGTGCCTGGCTCAGCGGTCCCATGGCCACAGAGCCTTGCTCACCGCTAGCACAGCAGTCCGAGATCGAACTGCAAGGCAGCAAGCCCAGCTGGGGAAGGGAGTCTGCCATTGCGGAGGCTTGAGTAGGTAAATAAAGCAGCCAGGAAGCTCCAGGTGGAGCCCACCACAGCTCAAGGAGGCCCCCTGCCTCTGTAGACTTCACCTCTGGGGGCATGGTGTAGCTGAACAAAAGGAAGCAGAAACTTCTACAGACTTAAACGTCTCTGTCTGACTTAAACTCTCTCTCTTCAGAGAGAGCAGTGGTTCTCCCAGCACAGTGTTTGTCCTCTGAGAACGGACAGACTGCCTCCTCAAGTGGGTCTCTGAGCCCCCATAGCCTAACTTGGAGGCACCGCCCAGTATGGGCCGACTGACACCTCATACAGCCGGGTGCCCCTGTGACAGGAAGCTTCCAAAGAAGGATTGGGCCACAATATTTGCTGTTCTGCAATATTTGCTGTCCTGCAGCCTCCACTAGTGATACCAAGGGAAACAGCGTCTGGAATGGACCTCCGGCAAACTCCAACAGACCTGCAGCTGAAGGACCTGACTGACAGAAGGAAAACTAACAAACAGAAACGAATAGCATCAACGTCAATGAAAAGGACATCCAATCCAAAACCCCATCTGTAGGTCACCATCATCAAAGACCAAAGGTAGATAAAACCACAAAGATGGGGAGAAACCAGAGCAGAAAAGCTGAAAATTCTAAAAACCAGAGTGCCCCTTCTCCTCCAAAGGATCGCAGCAACTCCCCAGCAATGGAACAAAGCTGGATGGAGAATGACTTTGATGATTTGACAGAAGTAGGCTTCAGAAAGTTGGTAATAACAAACTTCTTCGAGCTAAAGGAGGATGTTTGAAGCCATTGCAAGGAAGCTAAAAAGATTAGATGAATGGCTCACTAGAATAAACAGTGTAGAGAAGACCTTAAATGACCTGATGGAGCTGAAAACCATGGAACAAGAACTACATGACACATGCACAAGCTTCAGTAGCCAATTCAATCAAGTGGAAGAAAGGGTATAAGTGACTGAAGATCAAATGAATGAAATGAAGTGAGAAGTTTAGAGAAAAAAGAGTAAAAAGAAATGAACAAAGCCTCCAAGAAATATGGAACTATGTGAAAAGACCAAATCTACGTTTGATTGGTGTATCTGAAAATGATGTGGAGAATGGAACCAAGTGGAAAACACTCTTCAGGAATTTATCCAGGAGCCCCCACCTAGCAAGGCAGGCCAACATTCAAATTCAGGAAATACAGGGAACACCACAAAGATACTCCTTGAGAAGAGAAATCCTTCCTTATTCCTTATATAAAAATTAATTCAAGATGGATTAAAGACTTAAATGTTAGACCTAAAACCATAAAAACCCTAGAAGAAAACCTAGGCAATACCATTCAGGACAATACGCTTGGGCAAGGACTTCATGACTAAAACACTAAAAGCAATGGCAACAAAAGCCAAAATTGACAAATGGGATCTAATTCAACTATAAAGAGCTTCTGCACAGCAAAAGAAACTACCATCAGAGTGAACAGGCAACCTACAGAATGGGAGAAAATTTTTGCAATCTACCCATCTGACAAAGGGCTAATACCCAGAATCTACAAAGAAGTTAAACAAATTTACAAGAAAAAAATCAAACAACCCCATCAAAAAGTGGGTAAAGGATATGAACAGACACTTTTCAAAAGAAGACATTTATGTAGCCAACAGACACATGAAAAAAATGCTCATCATCACTGGTTATCAGAGAAATGCAAATCAAAACCACAATGAGATACCATCTCACACCAGTTAGAATGGGGAGCATTAAAAAGTCAGGAAACAACAGATGTGGGAGAGGATGTGGAGAAATAGGAATGCTTTTACACTGTTGATGGGAGTGTAAACTAGTTCAATCATTGTGGAAGACAGTGTAGTGATCCCTCAAGGATCTAGAACTAGAAATACCATTTGACCCAGCAATCCCATTACTGGGTATATACCCAAGGATTATAAATCATGCTACCATAAAGACACATGCACATATATGTTTATTGCAGCACTATTCAATAGCAAAAACTTGGAACCAATCAAGATGTCCATCAGTGATAGACTGGATTAAGAAAATGTGGCACATACACATCGTGGAATACTATGTAGCCAAAAAAAAAAAGAATGAGTTCATGTCCTTTGTAAGGACATGGATGAAGCTGGAAACCATCATTCTGAGTAAACTATCGCAAGGACAGAAAACCAAACACTGCATGTTCTCACTGATAGGTGGAAATTGAACAATGAGAACACTTGGACACAGGGCGGGGAACATCACACACTGGGGCCTGTTGTGTGGTGGGAGGATGGGGGAGGGATTGCATTAGGAGAAATACCTAATGTAAATGACGAGCTAATGGATGAAGCAAACCAACATGGCACATGTATACATATGTAACAAACCTGCACGTTGTGCACATGTACCCTAGAACTTAAAGTATAATTTAAAAAAATACAAAAAGTAGCCAGATGTGGTGGTGTATGGCTGTAATTCCAGCTACTCGGGAGGCTGAGGCAGGAGAATCACTTGAACCCGGGAGGCAGAGGTTGCGGTGAGCCAAGATCGCCCCATTGTCACTCCAGCCTGGGCAACAAGAGTGAATCTCTATCTCAAAAAAAACAAAAAACAAAAAACAAAAAACAGACATTTAAATACTAAAAAATTACATACCAAATACATACTTGTCTCCCAACACATTTTCAATATGCTGAAATTTGTGTGATTATTACATTACTATGAATACTATTTTTTTCTAATATTAAGCTCATTTAAGCTTAGAATCCAGTATTATACAGTATAGAAATAAAATTTAAATCCTCTCAATGCTCCAACTATCATTCTCCAACAAAGCATGGTTTTTATACTAGATACAATATGTGTAATCTGAAATGTCCATATGAAATGTTAGTCTAAAACTTCAGAGATAAAAAAAAAAGTACTTATCTGTTCTGTAAAGTGCCAGTTCCATGCTGGGTCCACCTTAAGTTCTGAGTCTGTTCATTAAGCCTGAAATCCAATATTCCTCCTGCCTGTTGTATAGCTATAGGTACATTGTTATAAACTCAAAGCTCACAGGTAGAAGTGGGCTCCAACCAAAGGGCCAGGAGTCAGAGCTTCCATATAAAGATTTCAGACATGTGACAAAACTTATACTCTCAAAAGAAACTATGGAAGACAAAGATTAGGGTAAATTCTTAGTTAATAAAGTTCCTTTATTTTCATAAGGACAATTTCTTATGTGGGCTATGTCATGCGCGTCCGTGTGAAGAGACCACCAAACAGGCTTTGTGTGAGCAACATGGCTGTTTATTTCACCTGGGTGCAGGTGGGCTGAATCGGAAAAGAGAGTCAGTGAAGGGAGATAAGGGAGGGGTTGTTTTATAGGATTTGGGTAGGTAAAGGAAAATTACAGTCAAAGGGGGGTTGTTCTCTGGTGGCCAGGAGTGGGGGTTACAAGGTGCTCAGTGGGGGAGCTTTTTGAGCCAGGATGAGCCAGGAAAAGGAATTTCATAAGCTAATATCATTGCCTAAGGCAAGGACCGGCCATTTTCACTTCTTTTGTGGTGGAATGTCATTGGTTAAGGAGGCAGGGCATTTGCACTTCTTTTGTGATTCTTCAGTTACTTCAGGCCATCTGGGCATATATGTGCAGGTCACAGGGGATGTGATAGTCATCGTGTTAGGTTCAATATGGCAAACTGAATACATGCATCTGCCCACCCTTCAACACAAAACCCTTCTGAAGTGGTAATATACATGTCTCACCTTCACCCCACACACGTAATTAATATAATGTATATACTTTTAAGAAAGAAACAAGCTCAGAGTCAACAAACACAGACATAAAGAGTTAATCAGGGATCAGTCTACCCAGGTTATCTCATGAAGGATGAAAGGCTGGGGCACCTGAATCCATGATGTTTACACTCTCCTCCCCAACAGAGACATCTGCCCTCAGAGGCAAGAATACCTCCCTCATTTCAGTGAAAGAGCAACCAGGGTGTTGAGGCCTCACAGAAATAGAAGAGTGTGTGAGTTAGAAGAGTGTGTGAGTTATTTCTAGATTTCTCCAAAACATGCACCTATTCCAGGACCACTTCACCCAAGAGTAGAACAGTACATCCCACAGTAAACTTTTTAAATTTTTGAATATTGATCAGGGTCCCCTCAGCTTACCAGACTCAGGCTACCTTGCCTATATACCTTAAGGGAAACCTTCTTGTGTAAAAAACCTGCTCACTTTCATGATGTTAGCTATTTCATGGTCTTAAAAGTTACTTGGATTTTAAAACACATACAGAAAATACTTGATAGTTTGTCACGTCTCTAAGTTTAAAGCTTCATGGCTGGGTGCAGTGGCTCATGCCTACAATCCTAGCACTTTGGGAGGCTGGGGCAGGCAGTTCGC